AAATCAGATTTTCTAAAATTTTAATCCTGATAAACAAAAAATGTAATCAATAAAATTGACTTATCGCCCAGCCCTAGATATAAGACTGTATAAATGCAACGTGCGAATACTAGCATCAAAAGTCAAGGGCATCTTGATAAAATAATGGCGGTTAACGGCCACATTCATCGCTGGTTATATAAATCAACCTTTAGTATAATTAATACAAGAATTTATTCTATTTCTTTTTTTAAACACGATCTGAATTATATCCAAGTTTCACTCTTTAAAATCAAGTTAACTAAAAAAAAATCTATTGAGGATGAACTACTTTGAGATGTATTTGTACATCCAGCCGTTTCTTACTTTTGCTAGAAAAATAAAGTAATCAAAGATTAAGTTGATCAGATCCTCAGAGCTGCAGCTCTTTACCACAAGTTTTGATTTGTGGAACAAGCAGCAGTTTGCTGTTGAGATTGGTTCTGCAGATAAATGACTCAAGATCAACAGTCAGAGTCATAAGACACCATGGCAGTGCTGACAACAATAGGTCCATGGGTGATTAAGTGCAATCAGCAACCTCAATAACCTCATGTGGATCGAACTCGCCATTATTTCACATCTCTGAATTTCTTACTCCCGTTTAAGACTCAGCTGAAAAAGATATTCAATCAGATCTTTAGGAATGCATCAGATATATTTGCTATCAATAACCTTTGTTTCTCCGTCTATGACCTGAGATTTCCTCCATTACTAAAACATTTCAGCATCTGACAGTAAGTATGACGCCCTTCAATGAGATGCTCCCAATGCTGAGCAGCTGAGACCATCGGATGAGCTGTAGGACAGTAAAACAGCCATTATGCTGAATAATTTAGAGGAGTGAGCAGTGGAGGAACATTCAGAAACTAGCAAGTACAACAGCTAAAAAAAGCCAAAGTGGAAGTCCTTCAGGGAGCAGTTCCTCTGCTGACAAGAAGAAGCTCCAAGAACAATCAGAGGGGGAAACCCAACTTCTCTTTTAAAACACGATGTGATTGATTTGCCCTAAAACAGCGATTCCAGACGTTTTATTTTTTGTTTTATGACTGTACCACCTACCTGTGTTCTCATCTTCTAAAACATTTCATGCTGCATTAGACTTAGACAACTTTTATTGTTGTTACAATAACAGAATGTAAACAAAACAAAATGTCATTTGGTACAGCTTTCAGAACATTTCCATTCCATGAAGTGCAGCAGTGATCAAATGTAAACAGTCTGGGAGAAGAGACAACTAAACATGGTGCACGGTGCAATTAAACATCATGTATAAAAGACTGAATTTACTAAAATGAAATAATAAGTAAATATTACTGTCCAGGCATATCTTCAGGATATGCATATGGTCTAAAGTGAATTCAGGATGACGATAAATTTGTCGTTCATGGCCACCTATAACACTACTTTAATGTAAGGTATGATTCAAAGTCAAGCTCTGTTTGCAATGGGGTGGTATACTGTACTTCTACACTGCTGACACTGAATTTTATTTCTTTTTAAAGGATTTTAACACAAATACTGAATCCAATTTAAATTGTAGGAACCACAAGGTCCAAATTTATGCATCAAAGCATTTTTTCTAACTTTCATTTTTTTAATTAGCTTTTACAGATTAAAACACTCTAGACATCTTATTTTTATTAGTCTAACAGTAAGAAAAAAATCATTACTTTACCAGCTGGTAATGGGAGAACACAAGAATTCTGCATCTTTGGCTTAATGACTGGTTCATCTAGTTTAAAGTTAATTTAGGTGGATTACTATCAGCAAATCTGAAGCTGCAGTTTTTGCGGCAGTTTCTTTATGGGTGATGTTAACTGGCTGAGGGGTGCAAACGTGCTGCAACTATGTACCGGTACTGCAAACATAACTATCCCACTAACACACAACCAATGCAAAGTAAAAATGCTTCAATAACTGAAAATACAGAGCAGCACAGTGATACAGGCTCCAAATGTATAAATGGTGCCAACACACAAATAAATGTCAATTAATGACATGCATCAGACCTGTAGCAAAGACATAAAAGGGATGCTCAGAGAGATTTAGAGTTTAAAAAGACTCCAACAGAAAACATACCTTTTAGTCTTGAAAAGGTATGTTTTTTTTTTTGTTTTTTTACATCAACGGTCTTGTCCATTATGACCTGATAATCATCATCCAATCTTTAATATGCTAAGCTAGTTTACAACTTATGTTAATTTGCAGTTGTTTTTACTACCTGCTGCTTTTTTCTTTGCATGTGTTTTGTGTGTTAAGGCTCAGTTATGCTCGATGCATCTATGCTCCACACAGACAAAACTTTCTCAGCTTTCACTGCTTGTACCAAATCTTTTCTAGCCCTAGATTTCTCTTAAGCAGAATACACTTTTTTATGTTATTTATTCTAACAGTCTGTATAATACGGTATCGGCTGTTGAGCAAGTGCCAGTGCTGTATCTGGTGTTTGTCACAACGCGCCATTATCCAAGTCATCTTGGAAACATTCTTCTTCGACATGTTGGCTACATATGAAGTGTTTTTTTTTTTTTTCTGTGGCTGAAAGGTCGATGGCAAATCCTCCCTCTTCAAGTTGGCAATCCAACGACAAACCCATCCGTGGAGGATCAGGAATCTGAAAGGTAAAATAACTAATTTTTTTTCACTTTTACCCTATGTATTACAACATCGAACCGTCATGGCATTGTCAGTTTAACTATAGCTCGGGAATTTCAATGGTGAAGTCCTCTTGATTGCAGGTGTGTCTAGTAGTTCCCATTGATTTTGCTTTTAAAGTGGGGAGAATGGCGCTAGGCTTACCGCACCGTGACTAGCCTGATAAACCAGAATAAATGTGAGATTAAATGTGTAATTTAGTTTGGCCCCGATGAATGAACCATCGGAAGATTGTTGATGAGAACAACCCGTTGTTTTTCAAACCATGTCTGTGCCTATTGGCCAACGCTCTGACCAATGAGCACAACTGACTGTGACAGAAAGCTGGTGGGGGAGTGTAAACAAACAGCCTGTCGGTAAAACGGCGGATACGTCCTTCTTAAAAATGAATGACCGTAGAGCCTCTTCCTGCTCACGTTTCAACAAAAAACCCCAAGTTTAATCCTTCAAAAACTGAAGTTGTTATTGGCCTCACAGTTCTAGGACCTGGGGCATTAATCGAGGCTAGACAAAACTCACAGGCAAAAATGATTTTGTCCGCTGGCGGGTGGGGCTAGTTTACTAAGCTACACCGTGACGTCACTGCCAGAAGATTTCAGGAGTGAGGTGTTAGTATATTTGGGCAAAAATGGTCACTCCCAGCGACAAAATTTTTTTTTAGTTTTTTTACTGATTAACGCTAAATTCATTAAATCACAGCAAAAGTATTAGTTTAAGGTATATATAATGAGGAATTCTTCAATAATTGTTTTATATATTATTACATATAATTTTATTATTTAATATTTTTTAGTTAATTTTTATTTTTACATTTATTATTTTTTTAAATAAAAAAATAATCTGCAAAATCCAGTTACCAGGGTAAAATGCAAATAATCTATCTGATCATTTGCAGATTTAATAATACATAAGTACGCTTGTTGAATATCTCTTCTATTACAAATTCAATTTCTGATTTTAATGATATTATCAAGGTAGAGCATTCTATAAACATCTTTTACTTAAACTTATCATTTCCAAAAACATTTTCAAAAGTTTGTTAAATATTTAAAAGTATTCTGTTAGTTTTCAAGCATTGCAGCCCATTCAATAGGATTTAGTTGTTAGCATTAGCATTTTTGCAAACATCTCTACTCTAATAATTGCTTTTTTTCCTTTTTTAAAGTATTTGTTTTTTAACTGCTGTAAATTGAGGATCTTGACTGTAGTGAGGAGCTAAAGATGTTTAAACAACCGAAGGGGGAGCGATTAGGAGATATTATCTGACTCTTTATTTACTTTTCAGTGAGCTGGAGGAAATGTTTGTGTTTCTACCGCAATCAGGATATTTTTTACAGCTTGACCACAAAACAACAAACTAAGCAGCATATATCCATAAGCTAACTAAGATTTATCTAATTAAAGGGCTTCTTTTTACATTCCAAGGCAAGTGTGGGCAAGGGAGGGACCAAAAACATGTTTCTGTGCCTTGGTGGAAAGTTAGGTGGTTATCTAAGTGCACTGGATCCTCCTAATAAGCATTTTAACCAGGTTATATTAATCAGCCTCATGTGCATCGCGTCCCTGTCACAGCCAGCTGACCGTTTGCCAGCGCTTCAACAGATCCGTCTGCGTGGCTCTGACCTCAGCTTACCTCCTTTAGCTGGTCCAGCTCCTGTCGGACCGTCTCGTATTCCGTCTCCAGGTCGTCGAATCGCTGCTTGAGCTGCTGCTTCTCCTCCAGCACGGCCAGCCCGTACTCCGCCGCCTGGATCTTTTCGCGCGTGGTCTCTCGCAGCTCGCGGGACAGCCGCTCCACCTCGGCTCGGAGCCACTGGGGCCCAGCTTCAGTCACCAGCACCGCCTCGGGATAGTCCTGCTCCTCCGTGGACATCTTGGCGAAGCAGCGATTCAAACCGTAACGGGACCCAGCCCTGACTGGGCTTCAGCTCAGGAGAAAAAAAAAAAAAAAAGATCGGGACGCCACAAATCACAGCCTTCTTTGTTTGAACCGCATTGTCACGGTTTGACTGGCTTATAGAGGCTCCTGCTATTTGTCCGCCATACACGTCGATAGGAGTTTTAAATTAAAGAGGAGTTCCTTCATCCTTTGTGACTTTCCCCAGTGTCTTCATGAGGCGGCCAGAGGAAACTTCTGTTGAGATCATCGACTGGAAAAAGCTATCCGCACAGCATTCAAATCTACGTGACTGTACAGGGAATTGTAGTTTTGAAGAATACGCTAATGTTACTTTGACTGCCTGACACAGCTGCGATATTGACTTCAACGACCAGAATGCTTAGCGTGTCCTCCACAGGATACCGTACTAGCCATGATATGAATACAATACTGCCATCTAGCGGTTTTATAATGGAACTGCAGCTATGCCCATGAAACAGGTAGGGCGTTTATTTAGACTAAAACTTGTTCTTGACATTTCTACCGTGGAATTAACGCTGTCTTTCTGGTTCCTCTGCACACATTGATAATGCAGATTGAGAGACTTGCTGAATATTGGTTGAAAATGTAACTAGACATTACATTACGCTTATCAACGTTGCAGAGCACCTCCTAGATAAGACATAAGAAAACGGTGACATTGGAATTGTAACAGCGCTATCTGCAGTTGTTGGTGCTGTATAGTGGAGATACAATGTCAATAATTCCAGGGGTTGTTTTTTTTTCTTTCTTTCTTTTTTTCTTTTCTTTTTTTATGGAAATGTCTATCAAGTTATATGTACACTGGAAAAACGATCTAGAAATAAGTTGAAATTTCTTAGAGTGTATTTACCCATAATATGAGAAGATAAATGACATAGTTTGCCAATTGAATGAGTATTTTTTTTCTTCAAATAAGATAATTAGATAATATGCACTTGAAAGAAGACAATGCAATTATGTTTTCTTATTTTAAGTGCAAATTTACTTGTTCCCTTGGCAAAATGTCCCTTTAACCTTCTGTATCCAAGAACAAATGCACTTAGTTTAGATTTATCTAAACTAAGTGCATTTGCAACTTATCTAGATTTCCATTATTTCCAGTGTAAGTGGGATTAAAAAACGTTAAGGATTTGAAAGGACGGGTAAAGCCTCGAGTTTACAGAAAATAATGTAGTAGTTATAAGTAGCCTTTTTTAGTGTTAGTATTTAATGTTAGTATTCTGTTATAGTAAACATAAATAGAAAGCACATCTTTTATCATTTAATTTGCACACAAAGGCTTTGATTTCAAGATTTTAAAATGGGGAAGCAAATGTGAAAGCAAAACAACCTTATCAGGGACTTTCCTTTCGTGGCAGCCCATGGCTGAGTGGTTGGACCGGCTTCAGGAAGTTGTTAGACAAATGTTGATTGTCTTAATGCTGCTGTACCTGCCTGAGAACTCTCCCACCTATAGCTGAGGCTAAATGGTATGTACACCTGATCTGAAAGGTTTTGCTTTGGTTGTTAGCCGGTGTTACCACTTTAACACAAGGTTTTAGTACAAAATGATATCATGCTTTATACTATTGGCCTATCTCTAATTTGGATTTATTACTAAATGTAGTTCCTGTTTGCACTTACAGGACAATGAAGGGAATCCTATAAATAACTTTTACAACCATTGTATGTATCATCTATTTATAATAGTCATATAACACCTTGTTAAAGCAAACCTTTTCATTTTGAGAATATCTAGACTGACTGTTTATTCTGACTATTTTCAGACAAATATTACCACTTTTATTCAATCTGCTTTGGTTTGGGATGTGCCATGGCTCTCTATAGGCCGTTTCATTGTAAGTATATGTATCCATAATGTTTTAGTGTCTAGCTACTGTAAACACTTCACCTCATGTTTTCTTTCTTTTTCTTTTTTTTACTTCCAGCAATTTTAGTTCCATCCGTTTTAGGCGTGTTCTTTGCCCTAGTGTTTGAGATTTTGGGCATAACTTTGGGTAAGCAGATCGATGTATTATTATACACACTTTAAATATTGTTTACTTGTTTTGTTTTTTTATGTATTAGGTCTTAATGTATTTTTTTCTTCCCAGACCTGCCAGCCCACACTAAAGTTTGTAAAGGGTCTCCTTACAACAAAAGAGGTATATTTTTTGCATCAATATAAAATCAAACTAAATCACAGCTTCCCACAAATTAATTAATATACTTGTGAAATAGGACTATATAGTCTTCAAAAATACACACTTGGTTGCAGCAGCATATCTTACTGCTGTCCTATTAGCATCAGCCTCTCTTATCATCATTCTCAAGGTGCATTTTTGCGACAAAAAAAAAAAAGTGGATCCCTCTCCAGCCCTTTTCACATTCTCTTCTTTGTTTTGATGAAAGGTAAAGTAAGATTTGTTTTTTAAAGAAATGTTTTTCCTTAGTGTCATATTTAGAGCTGGCCAAGGGAAAAAGTGCTTAAGTAGGGGCTGTGAATTCTACAACCACCAGAGGGCGCACAAGAGCAGTACATCTGTGCCCTAAATAATGCTTCAAAAAGGAAAACAAAACTTGTGTTCCTTGATATTTCTTTATTTTCATCCATCCATCCATCCATCCATTTTCTTACACGCTTGTCCCGAGTGGGGTCGGGAGGGGTGCTGGTGCCTATCTCCAGCAGTCTCTTTATTTTCATCCAACTGTAAATTTTTTTTAGGAACTATTTTGTTGTCATCTCATTTGTTAACTATAAAATGGGATAATTTTTTTAATTGCATCCTTTTGTCCTCTAGGATACCTAAATTGCAGAATTAACGGCAAACTATAGTACTGATCTTTAAGCTTTATGCTTAATACAAGACTATTTGAAGCAAGGATGATTAAACTGCGATAATGATTGAGCTGTGTGTATTGATGTTAACTGGAAAATGTAATTTATATCTGTTTAGGGTCCCAAACAGCCTACAAACAACTCTGAATTCATTTTAAGGTTTTTACTTCATTTTTCCTAAGGGTTATTTATCTATTATGTAATTCTAAATATACCCAGAGCTGACTGTGTATTAATCTGTTTTACTTAATCATCAGCAATATTGCAGTATAATACACATTTAGGGGATCAAACATTATTAACTGGGACAATATATGTTAATTTTACCATCCCCCCTTCTTCAGATGTGTACTGGGGATTTTGTTTCGCAATTTTTGTGGCCGTCTTGAACCTTCGTTCTTACCATGGTAAGTACCGCACACAATATAGCATGTTTGATACAGCACTCCCTTGGGTGAATGTTGTTTCTTTTGCTTAAACTATCTGCCTTCATTTCAGTCTACACTCTCTCTTATGGATGTGGAATCATAATGTTTGCTCTAAGGGGAGCCAAACGAAAATATAGCTTTTTGAGGTATGCAGACTTGAAAAATTACTCCACAGTTTTGTTCCTAAGAATTTGTAACTCTTGTACCATTTCTTTAAAAGTAATGATTCAAATCTTTAAATGCATTTGAAAGTAAATATATTAAGGCTTGATATGAGCACTTTTTGTCTGTTTTTTTGGACAGGAAACTGAGACAGGAGCAGAGAGCCTGGAGGTAGCATTAGTTTACAACCTCAGACCAAGAAGGGAGGTTGAAATCATAAAGGCCAAAGAGCAAACTTGTGCTTGATAAGATGAACTGTGAATAATCAGAGATGCCAGGAAGTCATCTTTGATGTCAAGAAAATGTCAAGCTTTAACTTATTTTTTTCTTTTGTTAAAATAAATAATATAAGAAAATATTAAATCTTCAGGAATGCATAATAATATGAATACGACACGATTTACTTTAGATTAAAATGTGTTGTTCTATGCTTTGAATTCATTTAAATCACTGGATTAAAAAAAAACACAACAGAGCAAAAGTTTTCAAAGTAAAATGCAGAGGGCTTTATTACATGATGTTTTTTGGACATACAAAATTTCAAGTAACGAAGAAGGTGTTTTTTCTTTCTTTTTTCTCATGTTCTCCAGTGAGACGTAACTGAAATCACTGCCACAATCTTTATTAGTCATACTCTGGACCAACACTGGATGGATCTGGTGCCCTGAGGTGTATTTGTTTGGACGCCTTTAAAATAGATATTATAAACAGTGCTGAAAAGAAAGAACGAGGAAGTAAAACCTTATTTAGTGGCATATGGGTTATAACCTCAAAGCATTTTCTTTGTTTTTATTCTGTGTTTTTCTGCCCCTGCCACCTTCTAAAGACAAGAACCATATGAATCCTTTCTGACTCTGTTGACACAACAAACACCTACATGAAAACTGGTCCCCACCCAATATTAAAACAGTAATACACAACTATTTCTTGTTGAACAAGGTAAATTTAAGAAGCACATGAAAGCGTAACTAATATGAAGAGAAGCATTGACAAAACAGCTGCAGCAGACTTCTAACCAGTCACCAGCCAACTAGAAGTTCAGAATTCAGAACTGTATTTTTGAGTCAAATGTTGTATCGTTGTCATTTTCTAGTCATTTTTTATGATCAAATATCCACAAGACTTTCACCAACTTGAAAATTGAGTAAAAGGGACAAATCGACCGATTGCCATATGCCAAGAACTGGAAATATTTCAGCCTGGGTACCCCCTGTTTGCAATAACTCTGTTGGTCCTGGAAAAAAGGATGCATTTGGAAAAGTTTACAGCCTTTTGGAAAGCTCAGAATTCAGATAAAAATGGACACTCCTGGTAAAACACAGAGATGGATGCTATGCCATGCTAATTGCTAATGTAAGATGATAAGGCAACTCAAAATCTGAACTGTGATCATTTTGTTCCTGTTTTTTGTTCCTGCTTTACAAAGACAAATAACTCAAACATGCTGATATTACTTTGAACATAATAATTACTGTTAATGATGAAAAGATCAGAATAAAATGGAATTTCTTGTTTTTTTTTAACAGAAATGGGTTAAAAGGGATTGCAGGTCAAAACGGAAGATTAAAATCAGCCACAGAGCTCAGACCGATACATCTCTAGTGTTGTTAAAATATTACAACAAATAGTTTTGCACAATGACTATTTATAAAATGAAAAAAATAAGAAATGGAAACATCTTATTTTTGGACTATAGTTCCATAAGAAGGTAGAGATTATGCGTGAAAATGCGTGTTACAGAGATATTATGTGTGAGGAAGAATGCACAAAAAATGGGTAAAGCTGATGTCTACTTCAAGGTGAACTGCACAACATCACAACACATCAGAGACTATTTGGTTTTGTTTTTTACAGTGAATGTCAAAAGATAAAAAAAAAAGGGTTAGTGTGTTTCCAGAACAAATCTGAGTGTGACTATCTGTCGCCATCTGGAATAGTGTAATTATAAAGGTGGGCGGGGCACAGGGAGAACTACTTGGCATTAGCAGAACTGCTGAGCATCTTTCTGACGGCCTGAGCAATGGCGTCACGGTCTATGCCGTACATCTTCAGGAGCTCATGAGGTTTGCCGCTTCGCGGGATGTGGGACACAGCCAGGCGGTGCAGAGTAAATCCAGACTCGTTGACCATTGCTGAGGACATTGCCTCCCCCAGACCACCTGTCAAACAACAGTTAAGTCTATTGGAGAGACATATTCTGGGTACTCTGTCAGTATAAGGAAAATTCCTCTCTATATATAATTTAAGTTAAAATAGATAAAATCTGGAATATAAAAAACTAGTGAAAAAGCCTACAAATTATTACAGCTGCTGATTCTTTGTCGAATCTAGAGAATCAGCCTGTGCTTTTCCGATGTAGAGCTGTGCAAGTCAGACTGTGCTATCTAGGTCATGCTCTGCCCCTTAGGCACATGCTCAGTTAAGGAAACCTGACAGCACTCTGCCTCTCTTTCCTAACATTTAAAAAACATACAACAGCAGTAATACCTTCTCACCAATGAGAGCACAGAAGGCATCCTCAGCCAATAGGCGAATGCCAACACAGCATGTTTTATGTCACTGAGCCAATAGAAATGTGCCACCATGGAACAAATAAAGACACGAACCCTTTGCAAGGCTCTACACACACAGCTTGGCTGCCAGGTTGTTGGTGCTGATGCAAAATGCAAGAAGTCTTTAGCATGAGTGAAACTTCTAAAACCTACCTTCGTAGTAGTGGTCTTCAACTATCAGGATCCTTCCCCTGGTGACTCGTGCATGGTCGGTGATGGTTTTAATGTCCAGAGGTTTGATTGTGAAAGGGTCGATCACTCTTACAGAGATCCTCTCTGGAAGATGAGAATAATGGGGGGAAAAATATTAGCATATGGACTATTTAACAATTAAGAATTTAGAAAATTAAAGGTTGTTTATAATTCATCAGCTTTTTTTCGGTTATCCTCCTAACAATAGATGACCATGGAATCTTTTAAATGGCTATTTAACTCATCCTTTTTTTGTTTGCGGAAAAAAAACTAAGTGAAAATCTGACTTTTGATCCTGGAGGTATCATCAATATTTATCCTTAAAAAGTGGTATAAAGTCAGGCTTGGAAAGCCCTTTTGATCAACCCATACCACCTTTAAACTTTATTTTTATATCGAAGGGACATTATGTGGGCATTCTTTTAGCTTTCATTTTGAAACACGTTAAGGGTGTTTAGACAAAAGGAAACTTGATCTTTTCTTTCTTTTAAATACAGTTTTTCTCTTTGATCATGGTTTAGATTATTTCTCTTGTCCTGTACCTTTCTTGAGATGCTCAGCAGCAGAAAGGGCCTCATGCACCATCACCCCAGCTGCAACTACAGTCACTTGATCATCTTTGCTCTGGAAAACCACCTGCCAAAAGAAATGAAATTTTGTCTTCTAGGATACTACTTTTATTCTTCAAACATTAAATCAGTTTTTTATTTGTTTTTTTTTATTAATAAAGGCCAGGTATGATTTAACAGAGACTCACCTTTGCCTGTCCGACATGAAAATCCTCATTGCTGTTATAGATGACCGGATTATCTTGGCGGCTGGTTCGGATGTAGCAAACACCCTTAATAAAAAGGTGAATTAAGAAAAAATATGACAAATAAGCAATATAATTTTGCTTTACATAAAGGTTTTAGTGGTTCTGCAGACAAGCCATGTCTACCTTTGTGGTTGCAGCCAGTTCCACAGCCTTTTCTGTTGTAATGCCATCGCTGGGGTAGAAGATTGTAGCTGTGGGAATAGCCCTGAACATAGCCATGTCTTCTAGAGCCATCAGAGAGGGGCCTTCCTCTCCTGTAAAAGTGCAAACTTCTATAATCTATTCGCTGTGTCCAACAGTAAGGCAATTTAGGTTTTAGGTGAGCTTGTGCATGCAGGAGCAAAAAGGTCATTCTGGATGCAGGGTACCTGGACTAAGAAAGGGATAGGTGGCTCACTGCTGTCAGCTTCCAGTGCAGACACAAAAGGAGAAAGAGGGAAGGACTGAGTTAGGACTGAAAGGCCAGTGGGGTAAAACAGTAAGGGAAATAACCTCAAGAGGGAAAAGAGAAATGATGATCGCAGATTCATCATAAAATGTTTTAATTTGTCCAACATTTTACTATTTCAACAGTAGTCTGGGAGGTCAGAGGTGGTGTGAAGGACACAGTGTGAAGGAATAGAAGAAGACTACATGGCAGGATATGTGAGAAGACTTATGGTAAACGCTGCTTAACAATCTACTAACCGGTGGACAGACCGCAGTGGGAGCCACACAGATTTATGTTGCTTTCTGAAATCGCTGCCATGCGAATCTGGTCATAGGCACGAGTGAAAAAGGAGGCGAGGGTGCTGGCAAATACAACGTTCCTCTCCCGTGCACTGCATCCCATGGCAACGCTGACCTGCAAAAGAAAAAAAAAAAACATTTTTGGATATTACATACATACTATATTCCTCTGAAAAGTGAGACAGTCAAAGGTCAAACAAACCTGACCCTTTAAAGATTTCCCAGAGCATCTAATATTTTTTGCAAAAACCCTCCCCAAAACGTCTCTTTGAACCAAAGACCAGTTCAGCTATGAGTTAGTGAGAGGAGCTTTCCAGAAATCTCTGCAGCTTATTTTTACCATATGGAGGGCATCATACCACATTTTACGAATCCTTTTCTGCCCTTCTTCTTTACTACAGTAATAAAATGTATTATGCTCAAAGCAGATTCTAATGTCAAGATCTTTTATTGTGCCAATAGCAAACAGGGTAGTGTGCAAAATGACACTACATTAACTTGCTCACATATTCAATTAGAAACCATTAGGTTTTTACTTTTCTCCTGCATTCAGCCAGATGGTCCCTTCCTCTGTACTGATTAATATTTTACTTGCGAATACACTTGTCATGATGGCTTATCATCACATGCATGGATGACCTAGATTACAGATGACCGCTGGGGCCGTAGAATCTATCTCTACAGTAGGATTTAATAAAATAATGAATATAGACCAACGTTTTGCATTACCAGGATGACTACGTTACGCTACCTTTAGCATCCTACATCAACATTTGGGGGAGAAGTTGAAGCTGTTTTTGAGTAAAAAGAAAAGCTAAGAAAACCCTCTTCTGTGTTTAAAAAAAAGAATACAATTGAATCATGACATTGAACATAAAGAATATATAACATTTTAAATATCGTGGACAAAGTTCTGATGTGAATTATTTTGGACACCCTACCATGTTCTGCTGAGCGATGTAGCACTCAATAAAGCGGTTTGGATGCTCATTCTTAAAGATCTCAGAACAGGTGAGATTGTTGGTGTCTCCATCGAGGACCACCACACGTTCATTGTAGCGACCCAACTTGGCCAGTGCCATTCCATAGGCCTTGCGAGTAGCAACCTGTGAAAAATTTAAATAATTAAACATGTAATACACTCAGTTATCAGTATTTTTGAGTGAATGTATTAGTTTGCAGGTGCTACTTGGTGTCATAACTCTAGGAAATAGGTCACAGGGTGATTTTAAAAAAATCGGCAAATGCAAAAATGCAAAACAAACACACACAAAAAAGATTATGTATATACAGTATATATATATATATATATATATATATATATATATATATACTATAATATATATTATTTAGTATATTATATAGTAAAATTATAGTAAAATTTAAAAAAAAATGGGTCAATACAAAGAAATAATGAACGAACATATACTAATTTCTTTGTTCTTTTTTGCACTGACCCATTTTCATAAATTGTACTCATTTTATTAAGTATCAGGGGATTTCATGTTATATCGTTTATAGAACAGAATTTTTATTCCTATATCTTCTCTTAATAAAATACCAGTTGCCAGTTCTATGTTTCTATCCTACCTTGCAGAAGGGCTTTAGATTCCTTTACATTTTAAATTGTTTGGATTTTTTATGTCATTGTACAAAAATGGAAATTATTGTGTTGAGAAAGACTGATGATCAGTATTTAGAAATGGACTTAAGCTTAGAAAGGTTTTTTTCTAACTGTTATTATTTATGTATTAATTAGGTATGCATTACTATCATATCAGGAACAACATGTTTTAAACAATTACCGATAAATAACCAATAATAAATAAGACACATACCATTAATGCCCAAAGCAATAACTTAGCATGAGGTAACATTTAGGAAGCACACTGTGACTTGTCTTGAAATTAATGTGAGTTGTAGAGTTTGACTTTAGATATGAAGACAAAAGTATTCTGTTAACAGTCCATATAGAAGTGAGTTTATGCTGTAGCTTTGTAGATTCTACAAACTTTTTCTCCAGGTTTGTAGTTGGGTGCGCTTGGCATGCGGATGTTCCTCAGGCTAACTGGGGGGGAGTCTTCCATGGGAGCAGGAGGGTAAATGTGCTTGCTGGTGTTCATAATCCTGCTCTGCAGATCCTTTATAACCATTTCAGCCATGTCCTTGGGCAAAGCTTTGGCATGCCAGCCCAGCTTATCCTCTGCACCTGGAGCAGCACACGCAAAATATACAGATATTATTTCAGTTGTATAGCTCCGAACTGACACTAGTATGTGTGAGGTTTTGTGTGCATTTTATGAAAGTTCTGAACCATCCATTTGCAGATGAAGGGGACAGACATTTACCCGAAATGCCTTTGCCTTTGATGGTTTTAGCAATAATTGCAGTGGGTTGATGACGTGGCTGACTCAAAGCCTTGCAAAGCTCTTCAATGCTGTGACCGTCCACAATAATGGCATGCCAGCTAAGCACAAACACATGTATAGGATCACAATGAAAACTGCACATCATTGTTCATTTTATGGATTATGTGAACACAACACAGTTATGATAAAAATACCCTTATATTCATTTTAGCACTGACAATTAATGCTGAATTATCAATGTTCACTATTACCCGAAAGCCTCACAGCGCTTCTGATATTTCTCAACATGATGCTGCAGGGGTGCAGGGTCACTTTGGCCTAAGCGGTTGATGTCCATGATGGCGACCATGTTGTCAAGCTGATAATAGGAGGCAAACGACATGGCTTCCCAAACAGAGCCTTCCGACATCTCCCCATCCCCCAGCAGACAGTACACACGGTAACTGCAGCAGAAAACAAAATGAAGAGCTTTCATCGCCGTTAACATGTGATATGCTTGGCGCTACTTGTTTCAGTCATGAAATTTCTGTTTAGGTTCTGACCCGTGAGTTTTTAACCTAACCTGTTTCTAAAGCAAAATAGATTATAATAGTGGAGAGGGGATGTACTTCTTTGAAAACATTTTTTATTCTAAGTGTAACATATGAATAACTTTAAAAACGGAACAAAAGGAAGAACCAGATGTAAATCAAATATCAGCATTTGATTTTGAATCTAAATGTGCCTGAGTGGTTGAAATAATTGAGATATGACTGCTGAGCCTGTGATTATTAGAGCAGAAGAATTGTGGGTGCAGAGCATGTAGCTTCAGCACACACCCAGTGCAAGTGGAAATCTTCATAAAAAATCGTTAGAAAGGTGCATTCCTCAAAACTAAGCTTTAAAAACAGGATTTTTAAATACAAGACTATTTTGTTCCCATCACTGGATCATAAATTTACATGTTAGAGATATTGTCTTGTGGTGTATTTTTGTGTTACCAACAAGCTCATTGTGAGAACACAACAGGGAAACCATATATGATTCTCTGGTGCATGATTTCAAAAATTGCAATGTTTTAAGAAGCACACAGAAGGAGAAAGCTGCTGATTATCTTTTGTATTGGTTTGGTTGTCTGTTTTCAAAATAACAAAAAAAGCTTTGAACGGATTTTGTTGAAATTTCCAAGTTGAGTTGCGTATTGTGACTGGGATCAAATTATTTTATTTTGGTGATAATAAAATTACCATCTGAATCCAGGTATTTTCCAAAAGTTTTTGTGTATACAGGTATTTAGTTCAGGTGGAAGTGACAATAGGTTGGGGGAAATTAGTGCTTTTCTGGTTAGAAATGATACAGGAATAAAAACATTGGAAGGCATATTAAAAAAAAAAAAAAGGATTCCAAAAGTAAAGAAAGTTGCATTTTGTGATTTTACTTATTAATAAATAACATTTACAAAAATAAGAACATGAACATGACTATCCTACTAAAGGTGACAAAGTACACCTATAGTTATTGTGTTTATTATACAAACAAGCAGGGTTTTATTTAAATTTCACACAAATAATTATAAGCCTATGAAATCACATGCAATAGATTACCTGGACTTATCAAAGTATTTGCCAGTGTAAGCCATCCCACAGGCCACACCAAGACCCTGCCCCAGTGATCCAGTGGCTACATCGACAAATTGTTGCCTCTGAAAAGGAAATAGTTATAAGGAAGGGGCTGTTAATACAGTGGCTGCACTGATAAAGGTAATCCCTAAGGGGGGGTGTGGGGTGTCACAGTTTACCGGAGTAGGGTGGCCCTCCAGGGTTGAGTCAACCTGGCATAAACTGAGCAGGTCGCTCTCCTTCAGCAAACCGGTTTCAACCCACATGGAATACAAGGCGGGAGCAGCATGGCCCTGAGAGAAGATGCAGAAGCAGTTCAGAATGCCATGATAGAAATACGAGGAAGAATCCTGACTAGCCCTGAGAACACACCAACCCACCTTGGAAAGGATGAAACGGTCGTTATTGAAATTCCTTGGATCTTCCGGGCGATACTTCATGGTGTGAAAGAAAAGCACAGACATGATCTCTGCTACACTGCAGCATGATGTCGGATGGCTGCACAACAGAGGAGATAAGGTTCAGAAAACCACATACAAAGTCTCCAACTGGCTGCTTTATGTTCACATTTTTACATCAGTAATACAAAGTCAGACTAAGCTGTTATGTCACTTCATTTTTACAAAGTTAAATTAATAACATTTTCTTTTTTTTTTTTTTTTTTTTTTGTTCCAAATGTCATGTAATGTTAGACAACATACTTTCTTTTATTGACCTGCTAATCTAATGACCATTTTGGTTTTAAAACAAGCTACACTGACACAGAAACATTAAACTCATTGCCCTCGCTGACCGATTCACGCATTAATTCCCATATTAGTATATCGACAGAAATAGCTACCCTTTCCATTGTCAGGGATCAAATTAGATAGGAGTATTATTGAGTAAATCATTGTAGTTGCAGGTGAAATGAATAAGTAGATTATTAAATATCTTAAATAAGTATATTATTCTGACATTTTTTTTCAAATACGTACAACAAAATTAATCAACAATTTAAAGATTTCTAAAAATATATGATCCAATCATTTATAAGGACAAAAAGATTATTCTTGGTCTGATTGTGTGTAAAATACTTCATATTTACTTGAGCTACCTTTAAAAGAGCAAATTAAAAAATTTTTATTTTTAAATTTTTTTTATTTGGGCAAGGAAAGCATTTTTAATTCTGTATATAACCAAAAACAAAATAATGTAGATTACATTTCATAACATTTTGGAATAAACACAATAAAACTTAAATGTAACCTTTGTTCTATCCAGTGCCTGAAGGAACACAATGCCAGAACACACTGTTCCTTTGCCCTTCGCTTACATTTGTGTCTTAGTGTGTGCATCTGTGCGTGCACAGCTCAGTACATTTGCCTGTTTTTATTTGCCACTTTCCCCCAAAATTGTGAACATATTTTTTGCTAAAATATCCTAATCAAAGTATCAAAATATCCACCAATATCCCTTCGATATCCCATATTCTAGATTTACAGATTAGGCAATTTGTCAGATGGAACTCACCCACTTCCAGCTGCAGTCGTTGCCTTAATGGAGTTGATTCGGAGGCGGTTGGCGATGTTCCTCAGCACCTGCACTGTCTGCTGGTCAGGTTTATGATAATCCTCCATGAAGTCAAATTGTTAAGTACCACAGCACCAAAACAAGTGTTTTTGAATTAGAGTGTTTTGTATAGGGCTGAGCTTTGCCAAAGCAGCACCTGTGTTTGTATGTGTGAGAGTGATAGAGAGAAAGAGGGAGAGCAGAGTGTAGAGGCTGGATTTTATCCTACAGAAGTTTGCAGACAAAATGCACAAGGACAGAAGCACATACACACCCACCCACAGGCAGACACAGGAGGGATGGGGTGTGGGCAGGGGTGGGGTGGTGATGGGGACTAAGTGACGTGGAGTGGGTGTTCCTCCAAAAAAAGAATGCGACTTATTCCAGTATTTCTATTGGCTGTAGGATGACGGTGATGTTGATAGGCAAGGTGTGGTGTTTTAGGCATCTCTTTCTGATTAAATGTGACACTAATGTCTAAACTAATCACATCAAAAAGGACGGTTGATTGTTCCTTGTTTTCAACTGACAAAAAGCCCAATTTACTGTTTGTTAAGGCTTGAATAGGGCTTAGTGTTTTTTTTTTTTTTTTTTTTTTTTTTTGCTTTTTTAAAATGTCCTGCCACTGAAATGTGATGATTTATAGCCCAACAGATTTGTTTTCACAAGCAGACCATATGGCTGTTGCCAAACGCTTTCAATTGGTAATTATGTATAAAACTTCAGTTGCTTTGGGAAAAATGCGTCCATATGCAATGGACATAGACTGAATGGGAGGTGAGAAAGAGAGAGGGGATAAGAATTAAGTGGACTGAGAAAATGAAAGAGACAGAAAGAGAGATGAAGAAAAACAATAAACAAAAAATATAGAATATCTCCTAGAAGTCTGCTTCCACACCTGGGGTCTGTTTCATTAAGCAGCTTTACAGAAATCTTGTTGTCAGAAAAGTTGTCTAAACCTCATGACAGGGAAACTCTGGCTTTTCTGGTTCACATGGAGCGTTTCCTCAACCTCTGTTTCAGTCACTGTAGTAACATTCTCCTCAGAGCTAACCTGGTCGGGGTTTTCTTCAGTAAACTCGGAGGGTCCGCTGTGTCAGCTATGCTTAGAACAAATCATATTGTTTTATTTCCTGATATAGTCCGTTTTTTTTCGTAGTTTTGTGCATAAAAATACATTTATATATCATTCACTAGATCCATTAGGTTTTAAAAACAGACATTGCATGTCTGTTTGACGAGGATCTTATTAAAGAATGATTGTCACTTTTTCACAGAGAATTGAATAGTTATAGGGAGAGGATTGTACAACTCAGTTGACAGGGCATCAGATTACTTGTTTTTGGTTTGTTTAATATGAGCGAGATGCGGATCATTTCATTACAGTACATAAAGAACTAAGTTATTTACAGATTACACATTATTAGATTTATTACTTCTGCATGCAAAAAAGGAATCACTTCATTTAGTTTTAGGATTCATTTGATGATGACAACCTAATGAGCGTACTTGCACAATCTGAAGCCATTCTATGGAACTGAAGGCCACTTATAACGGCCACTTGTCTGCAATCAGACACTTTACTGTGCAAAAGAAGACTTAATCAACATTAGGAGGGAGGCATGAGACGATCCACAGGTTCTATATATTAGAACAATGTTTTTAGACTTCATCTTAGTTAGCTGCCAGAAGATTTCATCTAAATAGATACATTGATCTACTACCATTCAAGAAACAATTCTTTAAAACTTTCTAGATATATAAAACTTAATTCTTACTAGTATTTTTTTT